GTTGCAACCTTAAAATGTAGAATTAAAGATGCGCCTCAAAAATCCATGGGAAAGTGTTGTTCTAATGTTGAAAAACCCTCAAATTGAACATTTCGACATTGAAATGTATGAATATAAAAAAAAATAAATTTGAGTTCCAGAACTATTGCATCTTGCAACACATTATCCATTTTCAAGATTTTCATATGTTTATAGATCTACTTGATTTTAACCATTTTTGGAGCTTAAAATTTTATAATTAGATATGAATATAGATTTTCAGATAATCTTAAGATTTTTTTACATTAAAATTAGATGTTATGATAAAATTTGGAGGTATGCCTTAATTGGATTGTTTAAGGTAAAGGTTGAAACCACACCCTATGTGTATATTGTTGTTAACGGCTTAGATTCACTGTTCACCAAATGGACAGCCTATCTTTAGCAAAGATGTCCTAGTCATTTTCCCCTTTTTTATGTGAATTCATTTGCTTTTTTTATTTTGATCACTTGAATGAGATCTGCATGCATGCAAACTATAGGGTCCAATGAGCTCCTACTTTAAAAAGTGGTTTGCCCTACACTATAAGCCCATTGGCTTATCATCATCATTATCATCCGAGTGTTGCCCCAAGCTATTGGCTTATATAATCTATTAATGTTTTTCCTACACATGCATTTGTCATACATATACACACATATATTCATGCTAACAAACAAATATATACATTTTTATAGAGAAATGCATATATAAATGCATATACATATAAACACATAAATATTTACATACCCATAAGCATAAACAGTATCACGATCGCATGCATACATACATACATATATACATACATGCTTACCTGTGTTCTTTCTGTTACACATCCTTACATACATTTTTTTTTCTATTTTACTCTCTCTAGTAATTCTGCTCATTTGTCTTTGCTGTTGTAGGCAAGACTTAAAGTCACCTACAACGACCTACAGTGCCCGCTTTTGAAGGTTTCTTTGGCAGCCATGGCCTTGTTATTCTTGCTGATTTCCATGGTCTTGCTTATTAGGTCTCGTAGAAGAACTTCTAAACTGAAAATATGATCACAATTTGGTTTCAACTTCTCTCTAATTATACAGACCCACTTCTGGGTTTGTCTTCCAAAAGGGCCTGAAAATATTATTTTAATGGCTTCAAAAAGCAGATGCTGGATTTTTCAATTTTCCAGCTTCACAATTTGAGAAGTTTCATTGCATGGGAAATTTAGAAAGATGGGAAAATGGTATTGAGCCCATTTACTAAGAAGATAGGGAGGAGGAAAAACCTCTATCCTGATTTTGGATTTTTGGAGTTGTTTCCTCTTTTGCGTTCTTCTTCTTTTAATGTTCCTCTCTGTTAATTTGGTTAGAGGTGGGAACCGAACTGAAGTTGGGTTCCCAATTATATTGTAAAAATACATTATAATTGTTTAATGGCTTTCAAACATGTTTGGTGTTTCTGAAGTTTAATGTTGTATGGGCAATAAATCACAATAGGATGGGTTTGTTTTGGAAATTCTGGTGCCTGGAAAATAAATCTCTCTCTACTGGTTTATCATTCTGCTGTTACACTAAACATGCAATAGACATCACACAGTCAAATAAAAGCAGTATGAGATCATGAAATCAATTTTTTGTACAATAATGAAATGTTGTAGTTTTCTATTAGAGTGAGATTTCTGTGTCTCTACAGACATGGTTATGTATTTGGAGACTTAAGTGCCATGCAATTTCGGTTAGAAGGCTAAGATTGAGCTAACTATAATGCCATGGATAAATTGTGGCTTGACAAAAATAGCTGCAGCTAGTCTATGACATGGTTGTTGGCTCATTGTGTCTAAACAAGATCAACTAACTATTGGACACTAGACACGGATATCATAGATTTTATGCTATAAGACCATTCACTTTTAGTACAAGGCTTCAAGAACCCTTAGATTTTAAAATTGGATTACAAGAATTGTATCCTTTTAATGTTCAATTGAGAAATTTCTCAAACTTTAACCGAAGTTCATAACACACTCCAACCACTTGATTTCACATATAATAGCTAGGGTGATTATGACTATTTTGTGCCAAGAGAAAACTTTTATGGAAAGTATGTAACAAAATCATTTATTTTTTTGTACAAGGATGTTACACCACTTCTTGCCCTTAGATGTAAAATCAAGTGGCTAAGGATACATAATTGACTCTACACAGTCCAAAAGAAAATTTATCGAGCTTTGTAAAACACCTCAAGCTGTGAGATTCCACCTTCAAGAGTGATATTGTGATCTTTTTGTATCATAGATATCAGTGATAAATGATCTTATACTATACCATCCCAAGTCTTTTATTATATAATGTTCTAAAAATTTGTGTGGAGAGATGTAAAAATTTATCTTCATAAAATACATTAGTACAATAAGTTCAACCATCAATATCGGAGCTAACCAAGCAAACAGTTTCATATTTACTGAAATTTAGTCCTCCCAATTGGGTCCCTAGTGAAAAAGCTTGCAAGACTATTATTGCATGTTTCACAGCAATTATTCCATACCCACATGTGTCCATTGTTAGAATGCTTTTTGTGGATAAAAATCGGCCTATTCCAGAATTGGATCAGGAATTGCCAATCTGGATAGGTAGTTGTCCATGGACATGCCAATTCCGAGTCAGCAATTCCACCCGACATATTAATGCCCCTCTACACCGTGTTATAAAAAAACAAACCCATTATTAAGAAAAGGAAATTTATCAATTTATCCATTTAGCAGTTTATCCATTTAGAACTATTCCAACTCATCACCACGTGTTTCTTTACAGGTATTTTGAAATAAAATCAAAAGATATATGTGTTAAATAGTCAATCTCCTATAGATAATTTGATAAATTTTTACTTAAAGAAAAAATATTCTTACATATCCTTCCTTTTTTCTTTTTTCTGAGTTATCAAATTGCAAATTTGCTCAATCCGGATTAGGGCAATCCATCCCACCCATTAGTGTCTTAGATCACTGCTTTCAAATGCATAGCTAAAAGTACAAAATGCACATATACAATATACATGCATGCCTATACATGAACTAACACTACAATACTGAGCAATGAGTATGAATATGTATGTGAGCAAAAAGTCGATGTTTATTCGCTTTTCATGCATAAAGCCAAAAGGAACGGTTCAAAGAAAAGGGCGGGCGAGGAAATTGTTGAGTGAATAAAATGTTTGATTCAAGAAATTGGAGTTAGAACAACATGTGTGTGTATATGTGTATATATGTGTAAAGGGATGTTGGTTAATAATATTTAGGAAAAAGCTTATATTAGGTTGCAATCTTAAAATGTAGAATATTATGCACCTCAAAAATCCATCATAAATGGTTTGGATGTTGGAAAACACTCTAATTGATCATTTTGACATCCAGATGTATGAATATAAAAATAAAAAAAGATTTCGAGTCCGTGAAATAGTGTTTCTTGCAACACATTATCTAGGCTGTCCAATTTCAAGATTTTCATGTATTTATGGATCTACTTGATTTGAACCATTATTAAAGTTTAAAAATTTTATAATTAGAGATGAAAATAGATTCTCAATCCATATTAAAAATTTTTGAAATCAAAATTATATTTATGGTAAAATTTAGAGGTGCACCTTAATTGGATTGTTTAAGGTTGCAACCTTATGCAAACTACAGCCTAATATTTAACTTCTATAAAATGCAAAAAGTTCCAAGCTACAATATTAGGCCTTAATCATTTCATTTTCTTCAAAATATCAAACCTTTTCAAGTTGTATAGAGTATTTATTGGAAATAATACATTTGAAAGAGTTTTGCTAACTACACTCACATTTACATGCACCCGCACAAAAAAGATGTCCAGGGTTTTTCTACCTTCTTCCAATGGGCATGACTTTTCATTCTCGTGGCCAAAATTCGCTACATGTATTCTACGCAAAAGTCAATAATTCATAATGTAAAATTTATTAGAAATCAAGAGCTAATTACTTAATATGAAACCTATTTTTAGTGGAAATGTATACAATGGGACCATTTACTTCTAATACTTTTGATACAATGCCACAATTATTATTGATCGTTGGATGCGAAATTGAGTGGTTGGGGATGCGTCATTTATTAGGGACAAAGTTCAAAACAAAATTTTTCGAATGTTGTGACACAGTTCAATCTATTACTGTTCACATCCTATGGCTGAAAAAGATCACGACCTCATTGTACCAAGAGTAAATGGTCTCATTGTATACAATTCCATTTTTATTTATTTATTTTAAAGGGTTATGTTGGGGTGCTCACACTATAGAGCAATGTTCGCAAAATTGAACCAGAATGGTTAAGTGGACATGGGGCCAGAAGCGGTTTAATCGGCCTAACAGGTAAACCAGCCGATTCAACTGTTCTAACCAGGCAAGTCCCGAGCGGTCAAAAAATTGTTGAAAAAATAAAAAAGATACAAATTTTTTTACTAAAATAATAAAAACATATAAAGAATGATTAAAATAAAACACATTCAAATGAACTCGAAAATTAATTAAAAAATGAATTTTAAATAATCTATTTGTGCCTAAGGTATTTTTAAAATTTTCTGAAAAAAAATATAAAAGTAAAATTGGAGCCATATGGGTTTTTCCAAACTCCTAGTCAGGGGATTTCTATGACCTAAAATTTGACATATATATTGATTCAACTTTGGATAAATTTTATGAGAAGAAAATGAATTTGAACTCAAAATTGCCAAGGTCTTGACATCCGACATAATGGAGACGGTCCAGATGGAGTCTTAGAGAGGTCTTACTTTGAGGAGTTCATTTTTTTATTTTATTGATCATAGAGTGAAAATTATTTTGAGAGTTCTAACAACATGTTACTCCTGCAGGACAAGCAAATCTTGTTCGAAGTTAATGTATGGCAAACCAAACTTAATTAACTCATGGTAATCAAAACCATCAACTCTTAAATGAGACTGGGCTAAAATTTAATCAACCTTAAACTCTCCTCCCTCCCTGTGGGCGCATGTGTGTGCTATGTGCTTATGCCAATCCAAAGATATCCATGGGCTTTGCTTCAGTTAATACCATTAGAAACACCGTTTGAAGATTTAGACTCGTGACTCTGGACTCATTAGTGAAAGAAAGACCTATGTAATATTTTGTCGGAGAAATATAATTTTTTTTTTTTTAATAATAATAATTAGCTTTTATACTTTTGGCAACAAGATCACTCACAAATGGTCTTATTACAAACAATAGAAATTCCAAAAATAAATAACATATCAATAAAATAAATCTCAACTACTTGATGTAATTCATACAATCTAATACTGTGCTTGAGAATATAAAATAAAAGAACAAACAATTAAAAGAAAATATGTTGGAGATTATCTCAACCGGACTTTTTACACCCCACATCGAGTCACCACATCTAATGGCGCGGGATCAACGGTCTAGCTTCAATCTCGAACCAGGAAAGCTAGATTCGGCCAACCTAGGTAACCACCCTTTAATCTCTACAAAATCTAATGGCGCGGGATCAGCGGTCTAGCTTCAATCTTGAACCGGAAAAGCTAATTTCGGCCAAACTAGGTAACCACCCTTAAATTTCTACAAAATCCTAACTCCAAAATTATTAGGCTCAAACCTTAATTTTTCGGCATGCCTCCTAGGGTCTTTTTAGGAGAGAGAGAGTAGAGAGAGCGGCATGGCCCCTAGGGAAGAGAGAGAGAGAGAGTTTATAGGAGAGAGAGGTGTGTAGAGATGGGAAAGAGCACCCCTATTTATAGTGAAATTTAGGTCCAGGGTTTCTTTCTTAAGATTGAACATGGACCGTTGATTAAGGTGACTTATGAGGTGAGAGATCTGAGCCATCCATTCCATAGATGGGCCATCAACATTATGGAAGGTGCATAAACCATTATTCCTCTTTCTGTAAACCATTTTCCCATCAATATATTTAAATAAATTAAATTTATTAAAAATATAGTGCATACCATAAATTGCATATTCCATCTCATATTTTCCATAAGAATATTTCAATAATATCAAGTTAAGATATTCCTTCAATAATTAAGATAAGATATGGTCAATGTTTCCTAATCAATATTTGACCATATGCTATAAGATATAGTTACCATATTTAATAAACTTGAAGACAAAGCAACAAGAAAAGGTATCCAAGGGTGGGGCGTGCCACCCATATATGGTATGTGGGGCCCCACCTAATACCCACATGGTGGGCCCATGTGCACTATAGGCCCTCATGTATTTTTTTAATAAATATTTTAAAATTAAATAAAATAAATTTTAAAACATTATAAACTTTGTAAATTAATAACTTCATTTTTATAAGTCCAAAAATAAGAAATAAAATATCAAATGACTTATAAAAATTCAAATAATAAATCTAAAATAATTTAATAATAAAATGAAAACAATTAAATTAATATGATGGGAAGTGGAACCATAT